AGAAATTAGTTCTGAAATTAGCGTATTTCCATTCCTACATATAATTCTGTTTCATATGTGCTTTGTAATCATCACAGAATAAAAAAGCAAGATAGCATTGCCAACTGTATTTAATATTTTTGCATTTTAAATATATTATTTGCAGGTCACAAGGCTTACACTGTGATTAACCAATCCTGTTTTACTCGTCTTCTCAGTTCACCATGAAGAATTAATAGATTCATAAGCTAGAAATGACAATTAGTTCTTATTCAGACTGCCCAATTTCTGTTAGATTTTGTTAATTTAAGTGGACTTCTTTTGCTCAGTCTGAGGGTGATTTAGACTACTGTTTCTAGAGAAATATATAATTCCCAAAGATGCCTAAAAAAAATGAGTGTGTTTGTTTTGATGGCAGAGTTACTGAGACAGCCAAAGTGTCCTGAGCATCTTAGAAATCTGAAGACTTAGGTAAGCTGAGATAGAAAGAAAAGCAGAAAGATAACTAATCTCTGACCAAGTCCCAGTGAGGACATGGTCCCTAAGATCTATTCTGATTATATCTAACTTGAGTTGTAGTAGGACCAATTCAAAATGACACCGAAAAATGACTAGAAAACATATTTTGTGTAATTTTCCAGGAAGGAGACCCAGGAACTGAACTTATTTTTAGGTTGCCTGGATCTGAATATCACAAACACTTCACTTTTCTCGAGATCCAAAATCTTCAATTGAACTTTTACCTTTTATGATAAAAAATTAGTTTCAGGTGGGGCTAATTCCACACTTACATGCAGTTTGGCCGCCGTGCAAGGAATGCAAGGAATATGCATTCCAGACCAGTACATATCACTATTTATATTCTTAGTGGCTTGTTGACTGTTCAAGTTTAAGCAAATACAAAGGTACATTGCTAAAATATGCATTGATATTCAGTTGCACAAAAAATTGTTTAGAAGCCATTTGAACTTTTATGCAAAGGATTTTCCCATTTGGCTCCTAATTTTGAAATAACAAGGAATTTATTGTTATCTCCAGTGGACAAAGAATAAACGTGCAATTACATAAATTAATTTTGGCTCTTTCTGGAGCTGCTCAAGATATTCTACTACAGTGATATTCATAGAACATAGTCAACTAAATGAGAAAAAATACTGGTTTCCTTGAAAGGTTATTGAAATCAGTTAAAAATAGTCTATTAACTTCTTTATGTTTTGAATTAGTTCTAGTGAATCCTTTCAGAGGATTTTTAACAATCAATAACATGGTAGATTCCTCAGGTATTTCATATAGATCAGCCCAGAAAACACATAGTGTATAGAGGCAAATGTAAAGTCTGAGGAAGGAAGATGGTGAACTAAGTATACTGTAAGGTATGTCACTCTCATGTGCAACATTCATTATTTTTTTTTGTTTTATTTTATTTTATTTTATTTGTAAGGTATATTCTTCACAGGGGGAATCTGTGTCATTCCAGGAACATGAATTTTACTGCTAACATTTCTCTTAGCACAATACCTTCATATCTCTGACCTCACCAAATATATATTATAATTTTATTATTTCCAGGGTTTATTTGTCTGTCAAGATCAGCCCTTATACCACAGAAAAAATCGGAAGGAAGTTCACTAGAAGTACTTACCTTTAAGCACAGAAAATAACCAGGCAGCGAAACTCCTTGAATATTCTGTTATAATTGAGTGGAATCCAACCTATTTTAATTCTTGGATTAACTCATATTAAACAACATTTTTTTTGTTCAAGCAAAAATGGCTTCATGACACTAGGTTATTCAACTGTATGAAGACTGGAAAAAACTTGTAGCATCTGTATCACAGCTGGAAGTATGACAGGAAAACTTTCTTTTGTGTTAGAATTGCAAGTGAGGAGAGTATGTAACCATGTCTCATCACTATATACCAACTGCAGGTATTTTGGAAATGCTGTTGTAGATGAGTTTCCATGCATGTTTTTTTTCAGTCTCCTGAGAGTTCTTCCATTTGTGAAGCAGATTCCTCTTTGTCTTCTTCCAGCCATGTAACTAAGCTTAAATGCAAAAGGCTTCAAGATGCCAAAATTGGTGGTTTTTCTGCAGCTGACAGTGAAACATATCACTGTCACTCTTTTCTCTGTCCACTGCCAGATAATTTATCCTCCTCCATCCTCCTGTTGAACAGAACTGATCCAAATCATCCCTTTGAGATGTTTCTGCATTAATTTAACAATCACATAAGACTCAGGTGAGTCAATGTAATTTCCTTTTGAAAGAACAGTCTGAGGCAAGGGAAGAATACTGATTAAGTAATTTAAAAATGATAACATTGAAAAAACATGGAATAAAATCCCATAGTATTGACAAGACCAACCAAAACAGTCAAAGACTTTGTAAGAGCTCTGGAAAATGTGCTAGCTTTTTATTTTTGAAGATTGTCTACACTGTAAAAAACTTGGAAAAAAAAAGAACATAAATTACTTAATCTGAGCGTCATTTACTGGTCCTGTACTCTTTTGGATGTTCCAGATGAGACAAATATTCTTGCCAGGATTTGTGGGGGAAGATTTATCTTCAAGTTATGATTCAGAGGACTTCACTGCCTATCTTCCTCCATTGCAATACTGACTGTTATTACCAGCCTATTACTTTTTACAGTACTTTTTCTCCCTTTCAACTGCCTTTCTGTCATACTTCTATCGCATTTTTATTGCCCCCATCTGTCCAAGTTACGCCATCAGCAACTACAATAGTTCTTCCAGTAGAAAAATACATATATTTCTAGCACATGGATTTAACGTGTTTTCTTGCTGTCATTGCTCTAAATCAACTAATTTCATCAGGGTCACTGAATTTCACAGTTTCTTAGAATAGGGCTTTAAGATAGCTGAGAGGGGAATAGTATTGTGAGGGGGGTTTCTTCCTGCTTTATTGTATTCTTTCTGTCATCAAATGCTCCTGCCATCTTCAGAAGAAAAGTATAACAAAAGCCCACACAACATGGGCAGCTAAAATTCAAAAGGACCACTGCACCTTAAAATTTCTTTTCATAAACTGTATAAGGATGGAATCTTCTTAGAAATATAGCTCTTATTATAGAAACACCAAATACAAAGGATATGAACAGGATAAGGTTAGCAACAACTCATAGGCATGATCCTAACACCAGTAAACAGAACCAAGCCACATTTAAATAAGACTGGCTGAAATGACACAGTGCAATCTAACACCTGCCATGAATCTTGCCCAATCATTTATGAATAAAAAAGAATTTCCAAAATTCTCCAAAAGAAAGAACTTTAATGGACAATTTAACATACTAACAGACACCCTAACATATCTTCAGTTTTCCAGATACTGAAATGCCAGTTCTTTTTCTATGGCTTGAAATAATCTATATAATATTAAGTTGCACCTCATTCATGCTGCTTCTGACATACTTCTGAAAAGAAAGGTATTCACAGTGGCATTTATATTTTGAAGGAAGAAAGAAAATAGTGGAGTCAGAAGACTTTTCACTGCTGGAGAGCGACTGTAGCACTCTGCACCCTACTGACATAGTGGTTTATAAGAAAGTTGAATCTATCCAACTTCGTGAGAGAAAATTAAGATACGGAACACACATACGGAGATTTAAACACTGTAATCAGGGTTTTATTTGAACACCTCTCCTGGAGGTTTCAGATAGGTTAAACCACAGCTGCAGGAAATAGTAACATCTTTTGAGTGAAATGAGTCTAGAAGACTGTTGGATTGCAATCACAAAAGATCATTCTACAAGCAAAGAATAATTCCTTAAGATTGTTACAATATAAAAGAATAACAAGTTTTGAGATTTAACAGTGAATATTCCAAAATCTAACCAAATATAGAACAAGCTAATCTCCACCCTTGTTATACTTAGTTTTAATTATATGTTATCTGCTTTTTATATGGATAATAAATAGGAGAATTGAATGACTGGACAAACAGTTGTATCATAATTTCTTGAAGAATTCATGTAAGAAAATACTTTATGAATACTCCATATGCATTATTAATCCTTCCCTGATGCCCAGCAATTTTTCAGGAAGAATCAATTTTTTTTCTTGAAAAACTGCATCCCTTCTCAGAAGTGCAGGAGCAAGAGTATTACCATTAACAACTCTTCTTTTGTTACTGCATCAGTCTGAAGAGACAAATAGAATGGTTCTAAGCAAGTACCTTGTCAGAACCCAGAAACTTCATTAGAATCCCACCCGTGCTGGGACTCCTTGCTCCTTGCAAGCTGTGCTAATGCAATGCTGTGATCCAGTGTTCTCAGTATTTCAAACATTTCTAGGAGGTTCCTGCAAACCTGAGCATACCAAATCAAATTTGCATTTGTGCTAAACTGTGTAAACATGTTTTTAATTGGAGAAGGCCTATAGTCTCAATCCATACACTCCCATACCTTCAGTTCACTTGAGAGTATGGATCTAGATTTACTAGCCGGTAGAAAGTGATAATTTGCTGTTTAATTTTGAGAATTTAAGACTATCACAAACTTTCCTTTGGCTTTCATGTTGAGTGTTCAAACTCTTCCAGTGTTAACAAGGACAATCTCAATTCACAATTAACAATATAACAGCAAAATAGTTCTTCTTTCAAAAGAGAACAATTAGGTAAAACATAATGTATTTACCTTACGTGAGAGGAAAATAAGCTTTCTGGAAGAAAATGTTCAAGGTGGACTAAATAAACTCCAGAGAATTTTCCAGTAGTAAAATTTATTCATTTTCAGTTTGTAATAATCAAGGTCAACTTACTACTTCCAATTTTTAAGCTGTCATAACATGCTCACTGACTGCTATTACATAGTCATTGACAAAAAAAAATTGATATGATGATGAAGCTTTCAGAAGCCTTCAATGTATTAAAATGTACTCAGGTCCTTAGTCATGGAGGACATCAACCTAATGCAGTTATTAAACAGACAAATAACCTAAACATTTGTTATACTTATTTTACTGATGAAATGGTTCCAGGATTTAAATTATTGATTACTTACCCCGGTTCTTTGAACTTCCAAGAAAATTGCTCTTTGAAATGATTTCTCCCACACTGCCAATTCACTGCCCAGTTCTACATTGAAATAATGACTCTTGCCATGTCCAGCCATAACACTGAAACAATACAGCCTCTGGTCTTCAAGATCAAAGTCCTGATGAATACCTAAATACATGTTTGCTTGTAGCCAGCAATCATCAGCAAGCCAGAGCTGAAAGACATGTTGCAGTATGTGATTCTTCATCTGGCAAAAGCAAACAATTGAAGCAACACTCTCTTCTGTAAGTGATGGGTATATTATGGCATAATGGCATTAATTACCTTGAAGAAATGGTCTAAGAATTAAGTAATAATGTCAAAGACAACTTCTCTCTTTGCTTCTTATTCACTCTACCCTGTATCACATAATCCAAGCTACTTCTGCAGTTCCAAAAATACTGTCAAAAATTACCTAAGCAATACATACAGAATTTAAAATGAGTTTATACCAACATATTGTTTACAATGAAAAGGAAGGAAATCCCTGAACTCTTTGAATACAATCGGAGAGCTGTGTGCCAGCTCTACAGGAAACCATAATTCAGCCATTCTAATTGGGTTCCAATATGCTAAACCCCAAGGAATGAATGCAGTAATTTATCAAGTACCAAGGACTAACTAATTCTGGAAATGACAACATAAGCATGTCCCATGATAGCCTCAATGCTGTTCTGTAACTACAAGGAGAACGAAGCGAAATCCTGTCATCACATTCAAGATAAAGGAGAGAAACTTCACATTAAACTTTCGTAATAAAAATATCTCTGTAATAGAATGTTTTGTAAATGAAAACAAATTCATATAAGAAACTTCTCTAATATTTCAAGACTTCATTGATTAGCATAAATATAGAGAAAACCAAAACTAAATAAAAAAGCTATTACTTACACATCTAGCTATTTTCACAGCCTAAATTTCCAAATTACACATATTTTTAAATTTCTGTTTATCAGATAGGGCCCTTTCCTATCTCCTTTTCTTTATGATATCATGGGGCAGAAAGAACAAAATAATTAGCAATGAAAATTATATTATTTTCCAAAGTCAGTCACAAACAGAATTGTTTTTCTCTAACACTCCAGTTTAGGTTTGAAGACTTGTCTCTAGTCAAGCAGATCTGAGGTAGAAGCAGTCATGTTTGAACTGGATTTAGGTGTCTTTGAAAAGACTAGCATGCGGCTTTGTGCTGTACCCAAGTCCTAGAATCTTGTAGTCAGGATAAGCTGTATAAAGGTTTACAATTTAGTTTTCTATAACCTCTACTAGCCTATCATTGTCTGTTGAGGCTAGTTGAAACTCTATGCACATGAAAATGAACAACTAAAATTTTAGCATCCAAGTGTAATTTAAAATATTCTGATACAAGTAAAATTAATGTTCAGGGGCTTGTGTCCCTCCTGTTCTATATGCACACTCAAGTATACTCATAGGGCAGCAGTGAAGATCCACTGTTTAAGTAACAAAAAGCAGAGGAAAGAAATGCTCTGCTACCACACCCTCCTCTGTGTACTGCTCTCATATTCATAAACAGAATCAAAATACTCAGACTGGAACTGAAAATTTTGCTTGTGCTGGTGAATTACTAACATAAAGCTGGCACATGCAGTCTTATGTAATTTAGGAGGAGCTATGGGTGTTTCATGGGGCACCTTGGTATACAGCACTTTGTTGACAAAATTGGCCCTGCAGCTACCTGAGGAGAGAAGAGAATTGAGGAAACTCAGAGCTCTTTCACAACACTCCTTTGGACTGTGGAAAAGGAAGTTGAACAAAATACTGCATATGTTCTGGTGTTCAGCTGCTATGGAGTGACAGGTATTACATCTGCTTCACAACTTACTGCAGCATATACTGCATATAGCTGGTAGACTATTATATTAATATTTTGTAATTTTTATCTGAAAATACCAGGCAATAAAAGAAAATAAAATGTTTTTAAGACAGCTGGCTTTTAACAATATGTCTAATATTCTTGCCCTAGAAACAAGTTCTAATAAAGATGAATTATGAGGCAAGATATAGGAATAAACATCTGTGATAAAAGATTTTACATTTTCAATTATCTGTTTTTTATCACCAGATGTCCACGAATATGCAAGGCATGTTATATATATGAGTTTTAATTCACATATTTGCATATGCATGTTTGTCTATGCAAACAGGTGTATTTATACAAATGTATACACACGTACAAATCTAATATATATCGAACATTTTGTTTCAAAATATAAATTCCATATGGGGTTCTAATTTTCCATGCTTAACTTTGTGACATAATAAACATAGATGAGAAGCTTACAGTTAGGTATGTAATAAGAGCACCTCTCCTTCAAATCTATCTTTCATAAGAAGAAACAATAGCATACTCTACCACAGTTCTGTGCTAATTCTAACCAGTTTCTGAAAATCCTTAAGACCCTCCCCAAACAGGAGTTTTTACAACATAACACTGCCTTTCATAGGCAATGCAGAAATCTTAATCCCTTAAGATTTTTTCCTATCTTTTTGGATTTGCTCAGTTTGTCTCACTGCCATTTATACCAAAGAATCAACATAAAATAGGTTAAAGAGTTGAACTTGGGCTTTTGCACTTTAGTTAACATATTCATGAACACTGGCAATTAAGCATTCATTTATTAAAATGTCAAGAACATTAAAGATTTGAATTTTTGATAGTTTATTTGCCCACTTCTTTTTCTTAACAAAAAAGTATCACAGAAGTTGCTTTAAGGACAGAATATCCTTGAAATTACCATAATATTCAAGAAAGGACTGAGTTTCAGCTGTAATATTTAAAGGAGAAAAAAACAAAACCAAAACTCAAGCCACAGCAAAATCTTTTCAAAAGGCATACCGAGTATACATTTCATTGGTGCCTGACATATTTATCAGCAAATAGTAAAATTTAAAAAATATTAAGGAGAATGAATAAATGATCCGGGGCAGAACCTCTGCCTTTTGTTGATGTCTCAGTGATGGGCAGGACCTGCAGTTGCCCACATAAACTCAGCTGTATGGCTGTGCTCCTGTGTCTTGCACTGTGGAGCTGAGGTCTAGTCCTGAACTCCAGGACTGTTGTTTTTCCTGTTATGGCACTGACCAAAACCCTTCCTTCCTATGTCCTGAGTAACTGAATAACAAAATAAAAAAACAACACAAAGCAAAACAAACCAACCAACCAACCAAAAAAAAAAACCAACATCAAAACAAAACCAAAACCAACTACAAACCCCAAAACAAAAAACCCCTCACCAAAACCATATGCACTTCTCCTTCAGTGCAGGATCTGGACAGGTAAAAGGGCAACAAGCTGCCTTTTCCACAGCAGGAGTACATGGTCAAAACAGAAAGGACAGCAGCCACTGAGAAGTAAAGCTGAGCCGTAATTTTTGAGTGAAACAGTATTTTATCTGAAAAGATGCATTTTAATTTTTTTCCTGAAAATATATTTGACTTTACTCTCCTAGACAAATAGGCTCTCATCTAGCATTATATCACCTCCAAAGCAGTTTTTGATTAGCTGGTAGAAAACAAAATTAATCTATCTGATGCAATTTATCAGAAAATATATTCTGCAACTCAATTATTTAATTTTTTTGCCCCAACTCCTTGCTTGGGACAAGCTAGACAGAACACATGATTCTATCAAGTTGGGGGAAGAAAATTAATTCTATGGAATACACATCCAACATGTTGTGCTTTGTAAGGCAAAACCTACTGTACTACTACTTACTGTAATACTTGTAAATTACAAACGATATAACGAGGACATAATTTTATATTTTTAATTACTGAAATTAAATAAAGATATTTTTATATAGAACAAAAATTACAGCAAGAGCATTTTCCACCATGTTTGCTCAAAAATCTGACTCACTAAGAAAAAATAGGCTTATGCTTGTTATGCTTAGCTGTGTGTCTCACTGATACTTCATACAACCAACTCTAATACTGAAAACTTTCTTCAATATGAAAGCATTTGAGTAACTTGCTCACCTGGAGCTTAATCCATTTTCCATATGCTCTTATACTTGCACAGCTAATGTACTAGTTTTACAAACAGTTTTTATAAAAACAGATGAACTATTTGCATGTTAGTTACTCCTAGTTAAGATTACCTTGAGCTTATCATCAACACGAAAAAGCGAGCTTTCTTTACTAAATAATACCACTGTAATCATTAGAAAACCTACCTTGTGAATTTTAAATAGAACCTCACAGAGGTTATAGATTTTTTCAGCTCGTACCCAGTCTAGTGTGCTTACCTATAACATCAAAAGAAAATATTGTCAACACATTATTTATTCAAGAATCTTGTAGAGATTAAAAAAACTAAAAAGATTTCACCCATCATTATTCTACTGGATGCTTAAATACAGGCACATTGCTACACTTAATATCCAGCATTATAAAATACTGTCAAATACTATTCAATTTTTACAGAAACAGTAGTCTTAGTGTAATTAAAAGATACTAGAAAATTTAATTGAATTTTTACCAGTATTATGGAAAGCTCTTTGCAATCTCTGTGGTAAGTTACGTGAGCATATTTATTTTTCAAGATCCTAACACAGAGAATTCAGTTTCAAACACAAAGTCATTCAGCGTCATGTCTCAATCTTAAAAAGATCTTGCAACCAAGAGAACAAGATGTATTCCTAAATTCAGGTCCGAGTTTACATGCGTTAGAGAGGCAAAAACTCAATATTTATTCTAAAACTAGGACTATGTAACTGAAATATATGAAATTAAGAACCATGTCAACCGTGTGCTTAATAATAAGAAAACACCTATTTTTTCTTTTCTTTTGATTTTATTACTTAATCCTGTTGACATGACAGGCTGTTAAAACTTGACAGTAAGAATGACATTTAAAGTTTTTACCAAAATTCTACTTTGTGATACAATGTGATAATCTGTTTTCTTTTGAAAACAATACCTAGCCTATTTAGTTCAAGAAAGCAAAAAAGAACTTACACACAGGAAAAATTCAAGGGGAATACACATTATTTTTGCTTATGTATTTTAGAGCAAAATTCTAGCTCTTGGTGAATGCTAATGCAGGAATGGCTGCATAGATATGTGAAGAATTTGACTAAGTTGTAACTCTGAGGTCTTTAGCATATGGAAATTACTGTTTTGGTAACTCTAATAGCAACTAGGATATTTTAAGATTCTAGAGCTGATACAGCTTTGTCCTGTTCCTGCCACCCACCCAAAAGAAAAAAAGTGGAAAAATCAAATTAAAACTATTTAGATAAAGCAAAATTTTGTTGTAAAACATCTGGCTTATGTGGATGAAATTTAACTAGGAAAAACCTATGAAATTCAATAACAGATTCTTTTTCTCTGTGTTCAGAATAGCACATAGTTCACCCATAAAACCCAATATTGTTCCTGATGATTTGCATGGAGATCAGCATGTTTTGTTTTTTTAAAATTTATTTTAAAGTTTAATTTTCAGGTTTTTTTCAAATCTAAGCCATTAAACCGAATTGTAACAAAATTATGATAATCTAAACCACAACTTAATCTGCTGTTTATGAATTTGGCTTTAGTGACACAGGCTATAACCTAAAAACTCTTGAGATAGGAATGTACTTTCATTTGCCCATATAATTTGTTTTGATTTCTGAAGATTAATTTAAACTGTTGAGATTCTTTGCTGCTATTAATGATGGACAATGATGACAGTGCTGTGCCATTAAATTCACTCTGAATACCTCAGACTTCTTCCCATTATCCTGTGCATCTCTTTGATCTTTTGATGCTGTGTAACCTCTTATGACTTTTTCAGAAAAGACAGCTAGTGATGATAATAACTGTATATAAGCCAAGATTCTGTTTTACTGTGTATGTCAGAGAAAGGTTACCACACTTAAAGAGTGAAACAGTCTAAATATCATTGCAAGGTGATCAGAACACAAATGACATGTTGAGAGGAATTTGAAGGAGGCAAAACAAACGTACTACAAAGGAATAGTAGAATCTAAAGAGACAGTAGAGTAGAATCTAAAGAGACATTACTCATAGTTTTATCAGAACTGTCATAGTATGTCTAAGTCTAAAATATTATTATTATAGACTGCATTGCGTTTTAAAAAAATCATGAATAATCATATACTTCTAGTCAAGGAGAAAAGCTGGAAATAATCCAAAAAGATCATGAAAAGGGCACTATCCTTCATTTGATTTAAAGAATGTTTCAGTTTATTGTAGTTTACCCATCATCACATATTTAGTACCTGGGTAACAAGTAACTAAGATAAATGGAATCCTGAAGTATATTTCTTAGGCAATAAAATAGTTTTTCTCATTATTTCCCCTTGGAACTGTTCCTGTAGGTGTTCTATAAATTGCAGTTTCTTGGGATTATTTCAGCATGACAATATAATTATTTTTTATGAAGTATTTGACAAAATGTTTCAAAAAGGCATATTCAGAATAGATAAAAATAGCACATTTTTAAGCACAGATAAAACAGAGTTGAACAAAAAGATAACAAAAAATGAACAAAGATATAAAAATAGGAATGTGAAGTTACAATTTTAAGCACATAATGAGAGACTGAAATAAGCATGTGGAGTTACAGAAGTTCCAAGTGGTGCAGAAGTACTTTTTACTTTAGTATGAGTTTCTGCAATTTCCTCATGTTTTAAAAAACGGCATTACAGTAAGTTCTGAAAATAAATAAACTAGTAAGATCTAGTTTTACTTAGTTAGACCAGGTGATCTCGGCATCAGTTCATGCTCATATTCCAAATATACTTAGTTTTAAATGTGTGTGTTAATCACTGGCTTTTCTTTAAAAAGTCATGGTTTAAAATAGAGAGAAAAGAGTAAACTAATTTTAACAAACACATGCAGTAAACAACAAACTCAAGAACTTACTCCCTAGGCAAGAGTTCTGTAATTATAAAATAGGCATAAATGACTCTCATGCCTGTTCAGAGCTCACCATTAAATAAAGAAATATGGTGTGAACGTAAAAGAGTCACACTTCAAAACTTGCTAAAGTCAAAATGAACATAACATACTCTTTGATTTTCTCTGAACACTGAATCTGATTCTAGAATTCTCCAGAGCCCCTCAAAATATTAAAAAAAAAAATGAATAAATTTAAAGAATAAAACGTAAGGGAAAAAAGATCAAAGTGTCTATAATATTTACTACTGAAACACAGGATGCTGCATTATCTGAGAATTAAGCAGAAGTATCCTATCTGCCTAAAAGTACTAGAAAGGTCTAGGGAGAAGTAACGTCCAGTTAAACAGTAATTAGTTTCACTATTTTCTTCACTCCTCAATGGAAAAAGAAAATGAAGCAAAAAAAATTAAAAACAAAATTAGAAGATATTAAAAAGGAAAACAAGAAAGTAAGACATGTTCCTGAGATGAATTATGACATGGCATTATAAGAATTCTAAAGATGCCCAAATCAACTCAAAACTGCATAGTGCAAAACACACACTAAAGTGCAGTCAGATCTGGCAAATATGTGAACAAGATAAAGACTTGGGTGTAAAGTTAGAAAGTTCACCAAAAGCATTCATGGTCAAGTCTATGCCCTTCAAATCATTGCCACCTCTCTCCTAATATGTTACATTGACATAATGCATAATGTAAATTACCAGTACTTAGAACTTACACAGCAGTACTCTCTAATATTAAAACACTGCTTGAGTGAATTACATCATGCAATCTTCTCTTGTCTGTACTGTCTGTCAAAGGTAGAACTACTTCTGTTATTTTCATATTATTCTCATATTCGTTCTTTTCTTAAAACTCCAAGCAGCACATGCAGTGATTGCCTAGCTGCCTTCATGTAAATCACTTCAGTGCTATTTATTTAATCACATTGAAAAAGATAGTTTTCTAATATAAGGGTTACACAGTAGATCCAAAGATACGGCTATTTGAAGACTTTAATTGAAAAACTCTAATGAACTATGAGGAAGACATAAAAAATGAAACACTATAAACATCTCCTACATATAGCCCATATTCCATAAAAACAAACTATTCAATTTTTTTTTCTGGAAATTTTCAATGACATGAAAAATAGTTCTATTTTGAATGACAATTTTGAATACTTTCTCCTCAATTTCTACTAGAATAAAAATTCAGGACATTTTCAGTATCTGAAAATTGTCAGGAATTATACAGATGCTTTTAGAATGTAATAAAATACTGCTTGCATATTAAAAGAATAATTTCTATTTGTTCAATGGTGTTTTTCAGATATGCAGCTTTCAGAAATGTGTCACAATTGTAATATAGCAATCTGTAAATGAAATCTGTAAATATCTTAAATACAGTCAGATAAGCCTCTTCAGGGATGCAGAAAGACCATTCTCTGTTAATCACATCATTCTTGATACATACTCCTATGGTAAAGCTTCTACATTTTTGGAAACAGCATCTGAGATATCGCAGAAATAATGTATAAATAGAATATTACTTGCCATAGTGATTTCTTTCATATTATAATACCCACATTTTTCCACAATTTTCTTTATTTTTGCTCATGGGTAACTATGTTATCCATTCTTATGAAAGCTAGCAGCTGCATTTGCATTTACATTCACGTCATCTTTACACACAATGGAATTGAAAAAGAGTGGAAATTCGACTAGAGTCCTTTACAGGCAGTAGTAAAGTTACAGATAAGAATAAGTGTAGAACTTATAGGTCATCTGCTCTGTGTACACTACACTGATACTCTCATATGCTACATTGATTCAGTATACAAATAGCAATAGCAACATCTCTGAAATAAAACATGTTAAACTTGTATCCTCTAAAGATCAAGCAAGTTAAAACATCTGTATTTTTGTGATAGAACATTTTTCTCCCCCCAAGTAAAAAAAATAAATGTCAGCAGGAGTAATGGTAAGAACAATATCCTCAAGTATCTCTAGAAATAGTGAAAGAGGTCTGTGCACAGCTACAGAGCTGGGACATGTGACACGGAACCAGTGTCAGGGCACAGCGTGGGTTGGTGGCTCCCTGGATGCCATCGGAGCTCCCTTGAGGTTCGTCAGGGTAGGGTCCTTGCCAGCTAGTTCCAACCCCATCACCCTGCAGTGGGCTGATCCCATCCAACAGCTAAACACACCCACAGCTGCTCACTAACTCCCTGTCCCCTGCCATGGGGTGAGGGAGACAATAGGAAGAGCAAAATTAAGAAAAATTCTTGAGGTAAGATAAAGACAGTTTAATAAGTGATGGAAAGAAAAAGAAATCAATTGAAGCAAAGGTGATTGCACACTGCTCACCCAAGTCAGACCAACGCCCAGCCAATGGTTACTTTTGAAGACCAAATCCCCATTTTTTATCACAGAGCATGATGTCTTATGGTATGTGATATCCCTTTTGGCCTATTTGGGTCAGCTGTCCTGGCTGTGTCTCCCCCCCACTCCCTGCCTTGCCCACCCCCAGGTTGCTTGCTGGGGGGTGCAACAGTTTGCAACAGAAAGGCTGTACAAGCACTGTTCAGTATTAGCCCAAACACTGGTGTGTCAGCACCGCCTTGGCCACAAATAAGAAACCCACTGCCACAGGGGCTGCTATGAAGAAAGTGACCTCCATCCCAGCCAGGCCCAGAACATGTCCCAGCCAGGAGCAGGGCAGCCAGGGGGACTGGGACAGACATCCCCAGCTCTGGGCACCAGGTATCTCCTTGGGAGCAGGGATGGGCTGAAGCCAGGCCTAGACATGGGCTCCTGGGTGGTCCTGGCTCACTGGGGCTCATGGCTGGGCAGGACAGGGCTGTGAAGCTGGAGACTGGCCCTGCTGCACTGGTGGGGCTGCAATGGGATCCTGGGCTGTGGGAAGGTTGGGGTGAGCCCCAGGGAAGGGGGTCAGCAAAAGCCAGGGCTGAAGGTGCCCTCAGGAGACTGATAATCAGCTTCAAAGTGTGTCTTCAATCTGTGTTTGAATTCTTCAGGTGGGTGGTTGCTGGGGTTCTTTTTTGTTTTTGCTTGTTTGTTTGTTTGAGGGGTTTGTTTGGTTTTTTTTCCCTCTGATAAAAACCATCTGCGGAACGATTAAAAAGCAACAAAACTGGTCAACAGCTTTTATGACTTTTAAGCTTTTAAGACTGTGACATTTACTGGTGTATCATAGTATTGGGATGACATAACACATTGACTAAAGGGGTCCCTTTTGTTCATGTTTTTGAAAGCCACTGCTTCTACAAAAAAAAAAATAAATTGTACAGAAACATGGCAGAGTATATCAGATTCTGTTAAGTAACATCGTACTAACACCACCAGTCATCCTCCCTTGTCTGTTCTTAACAGAGTACTGAACATGGTAAATGAAGTTGTTTATCCTGAAGTTGTTAGTATCACGTAGATGGATAGTTCTAGTTATATCAAAAATGTATCTTAAAAATAGGTTAAAATTTATAGAGGAAAAGCATTCATGGGGTGTGTTAATTATTTGTTTAATATTTCTGCACTGTTTTTACATTTTAATTGGATGGTAGTAATTGAATCAAATTTTAGTTCCTTGGTTAACATATTAAAACCCCAAGTTTTAGAGGGGGAGAACCCCTGATTTTCTCAAATGTCTTGTCTCATTTTAAAAGGACTATTACTGGCTATTTTAAAATGCTTGAAGTTAATAGGAATCACTAGATTAAGAATTTCAACCTAGAGAGGGGAAAATTTTACTTACAGCATTTCATTGAGGTTCATAAATAACTTTTGAAAAGTATGTGCTTCTCAAAGGTACTGTAGACAGTACACATATAAAGGGTCAGATTTTCTTTGACCTGACAAAACTGTGAGACTGACCATCTTCTGAGAAAAACTGTAAGCTAGTTGTATAATTGAAATGGTATTCTAATTACACATTGTATTCTTTTTCATTTGTTTAAAGTAAAGATTCTCTGGAGAAAAAAAGAAAGAAGGGATTAAACATTACCATGTGGTAAGTATGGGTCACTCTTTTGTAACAGTGTAGAATTCTACAGCTCATTTCTGTTTCATTCTTTTAAACTAATTTTTAGAAAAGTATTAGGTACGTCATCTGTGAAACAGAATTCTTGTTACTAGGTACGTAAATTACCCAAGCAAGACTTTTTCAGGCTATACACTTAGCATTGGATTCTCTGTAATACTTTAATCCCTTGCCTGTGTGAAAAATCCACAAGTATTTGTAGTGTTTATTTCATGATGTATTTTGTCTTTAAGAAAACAGAGTAACTGCCAACTCATATACAAATACCTTAGAATAAATAAGGTAAGAAACATTAGGCCTAACCACCCAAAGAAAAACCTGACCTTGGCAACTTCAAAAAGCAAAACACTCCCTACGAGGAATTCTTTAAACTATCCAGGTACAGTAAGATTTTCAGAGGACCTTGAAAGAGGCTAAATTTCTAAAGCTTACTGAAATTCAGTGGCATCTCTGGCTTTAACTTATTTTGAAATCTCAGCTGACAACTTCACTTGATAAAGGAAGACAAACCCAGACATAACCAACATGTATCCATTTACAATGAAACTGCCACAAAAATATTAATTTTTTACCGGTGGAGTGCTGAAAATATAGAAGGACGAACCCTTCAGTGCCAGAAACTTGAATTTGTAGAGCTGAGATGAATCAGTTCCTTCAAGTCTCTCATTTACCCATCCCATATGTATGACCTGTAAAAGAAAATAATTGAACATTAAAGCTCTATTTTTAAGTGGATCATAAGAGTGGTTTTATTAGAATGGGATGCATCATACCCTTCACATTTGCCTTCCCACCACTTGCATATTCCTGAAGCATATAGTATTGTGGCAGTGTGTCACAAGTCTCTGAAGAGAATTAAACTTACAGTACTGGTAGTCTGAATCTTATCTGAAATAATCACAGTGTTAAAAGCCACCTATGTATCTCAAAGCAGACTCTCACTTGAGCCAGCAGAAACCTATGTGTACAGAAGTAGTTCAGCAGGCAGTTTATAAAAACCATGATCCTATATTATCTATAGCAGTGTCAAAACTTGGATATACTGACATTTCTATTCCATGTAACTCTGAAGAAATACACCTGAACAAATCACTAGATATATCAAATCAAACAGCTTTCTCTAGGTTCATGTTTGCCACTGTTAACAAAGTCTTTGCTGCACTTATCATCTTTCAGAGTTTATATATTTTTTTCATATACACTTTATCTAGGTTCTCATAGAATTAGATGTCAAATTCAGTGGTTACAAAACTTTAACAGTGTTACAATGCATACCTTTATTTTCCAGAAAAATTAATGCTAAGAAAAAATAAAATTAAGAAGTAAAACTGCATGCTTCCTCTGAGGTAGCATGCAAATTTATAAAGGAATAATGTCATAGCGTGGTAGCAGAATATAGTGAATGTAGTTACCCATGAAAAACAACAAGCAAAAAACATTCTAGGCTCCATTTGGCATACTTTAGGAGGAAAATATTGCTCATGAAACAGGTATTTAAATCTAGACTCAGTCACCAATCCGAATGTACAATTCTTGCTGATAAGCTTGCTTATTTTCAATTAAGGTTACACCTACAGGCAGTAATGATTTACACAGGGGCAGATATGTCAAAGCACTAGCTAATAGTATAGATGAATGCTCATACTCTTATATCATGAAAACCTCACACGTTGTTTTCTAATGTTGGTATTTAATGTCTCAGTTATGTCTCATCAATAAATTTATCAATAAATTAATAATAAATCAATATGTTGAGCCAGACAATCCTTCTCCATACTGCATTAACATTTTAAGGAGATCTAAGAAACAGCACAATAAATACAGTAGCCCTTCCAGTTCTTATTTGCTATTCTGCAAATTTAATAACTTTCACTAGAAGATTGTTTCTACAGCAGTCAGCAAAAGTGTCAAAACAGTATATTCAGAAACCTCATCACTTTAACAAAATATACTACATTATTGTTTATATTCTATTACAATTCATATTATATATTCAGTTTATTAGGGTGGTAATATAATATCAAATAATACAAACAAAAAGAATGATGTTCAAATCACAGCATATGACCAGTACTATATTTTCCTTTACATTTCTAAAGTCATAGTTGCTGACCTGCAAATTGACACCACTTATTATGGCAACCTGAAAAGTAAGTGCTAACGAATATGAAAGAGGAAGAGGAAAAGACTAAGCAAAAGATATTTAAAAAGAGAAAGAATTTATTAAGAAAAAAAAGAAACTGGAGAAATTAAAATGAAAATAACAAAAGCAAGTACACTATACAAGTTTATAAAGAGAGGGAAACAATTACAAAATACTTGGGAGAAAAAAATTTAAAGAAAAGAGAATTCCAAATGTATATTTGTCTATAAAATTGCCTATACAAAGTCCCCAAAAAGTAAAGAATGAAAATAAAAGAATTTTATTTATCAGAAACAGTGTTTGATTAACTTATGCATATACTGATAAAATAATAAAATTATGTATTTTTAACAGATATATATAAATATATATATATATATATTTTTAATTTCTTTCCACACAACTTTCTTATTGACTGGTTTATTTAATGGTTGTTTAGACCACAGAAATGGAGAAATAATAATTATTCAGTTCCACAAAAGCAAACAAGTGTTGGTACTTAATAATCATCATCATCATCATCATCATCATCATCATCATCATCATCATCATCATCATCATCATCTGTTCATACATGGGTTACTGAGATTTTAATTGGATCTTAGTACTTGGGTGGGAATATTAGTCCTGGGACAAAAGCTGTTCAGTTATTTGGATCAAAACCTTCCATTTGAAGTGTTTAGGAGTGCTTATAAGGCATAACACTCTAAACTGTCCCATTCTCAGCATTGCTTTCACTGCCATTCAAAGCTACATGGAGAACTACCCATATACCATTGATGTATTATTAAGTTTCTAACATGTTGTAACACACTTTCCAAAAGTTCCTGTTGGAAGAAAATGAGCAATGGCATTCATTATGACGAGATAAAACAAGTCACTAACAAAATGTAATCCAATCATAGCAGATAAATGAAAGTTCTTATTTACACTTCTTGATTTTCTACAGCCATAGAGCATCTGGGTGCTGCAAGGACTAGAAACTTAACATGTATTAAATTTAATAAAGCAGTCAGTACATTTTGTATATAGTACTTTAAGTAAATAGTTATGAAAAGTAAATGATGCAAAACACTCCAGAGGGAACTGAAGAAAGAAAATCAAGGAGATCCCTATGTATGACATGTCAGAACAGACGGCTACACTTATGTAATTAAAGTGGGATAAGAATCTACAAGAGACGCCAGCTTGACCTGCAAGTTAGCAATCAGTGCTGTGCCATAAGGTACAATGGAACAATAACAAATTAAGAAAGCAAAGAGAAGTACATCTTGAGGGAGCTTTAGTAATTTTTTGGGTTTTTTCCAAAGCAAGTGTTAGATGGCATATTTTGAAAGGTATAGATAAAGGCAGTATTCAGGGGAGCTGGATCCAGGTCAGACCTCTTCAGCACTTCTACAGCATGTCAGTTTTCAAAGTGAACCATTTATATCTATTATTGGATTATGCAACAAAATCTGTACAACCAAATCCATATAATACTGTTTAAAATATTGTAATGTCAAGAATTGTCATAAACCTTGCTGGAATCAAGATCTGTTGCAGCACACATCCACAAGATACATTACATGATCACAGGAGAAAATTAGATTGTTTGACACTATTTATTATTGACAAATCTTTCAGGGTGGTTATTCATTTGTTATCTTGCTGCTCCACATAGGTATTTTGTTTCATTTCAAATTTCTTTATACAGATTGAAGTCAAATTGACTAGTCTCTAACTATCCAACTTCTCTTTCTTTATTCATTAACAGTCATGACGTTTGCCCTTCCCTTATCTTTTGAGATGTCACCTGTGAGACACAATTCCCTGAAATAATCATGATAAAAGTTTTAGTCTTAAAAATATAAAAAAAAAATCCAGGAAACAAAATAAGAAATCTTGCAAGTATTTTTACCTATGCAGAGATAGAATTGCCTAATTTGCTTTAATAAAAAATAAAGAGCAATCCAGTAGTGTGTTTTTTGAAAATTGAGTCCCAAATCTATCTGCCTACTGATAACACAGAATAAAGTGCTTTCAAATAATCTCTAGAGTATTATAACAAATTATACTAAGCAGAAACAAAAGTTATGATGCATAGATGCTGTGTGTTTCATCATCAACACAGGTTACATAAACACTTAGCACCTGAGCTTCAGCAGTGGTACTTACTTAACACCTTTCAGATTTGTGTAATCCCTATGAATTTCTTAAGACCTTGTAGTCCTTGACATGGAATAATTAGCATGACATGTCCTGGGATAACTAGAGCTCTCCAAACAATTCCAATGGACAGTCTGGGATTTTAGCACTGTTGGAAATAATTTCCAATAGGCAGTTTGAATGCAGACACCCTGCTTTGGTGGTGTGTGGAATTTAAAAGTGTGGAATTAGCTAGACCATGCCAATTAGCTTCATGACCTGGTACCACTTATTTTAACAGTATAAATATGTTAATAATAACTACAACTACTACTACCTTTCCTTACCTCCAAATTTGAATAACAGTCATAGGACAAAGTCATAGAATCATAGAAGTTGGAAGGGATCCATAAGGATCATTGAAGTCCAACTTACAGCCCTGCACAGGACCACCCCAAGAATCACACCATGTTTGTTTGACATCTTTTGGCAAAGACACTTAAATACAACTGGTTTAGACCCAAGAACCTTAGTCCTTTCTGATTTTCTTTATCTAGGTGCCTACAGAATTCCGCACGGTCTGGAGATTCAGTTTCCAGCAAAACCAGTTAGGGGCAATACGAAAAACAAAGAAAGCCCAGTTTAGCAAAGTAATTTTTTATGTTCTTGATGACCCTGAATCCTAGATTGCTAACGTCCTATGAAAAAATAATCTGAATGAAACCTATCCACGTCCAGCCTTGTCCCTTTATGAATGATTAAGCTGGACTCTAAAGGCAATGAAGAAAACTCACCACAGGAAACACATTAATGAAACTGCTTAATTCTTCAGGAATGTCCGCGCTCAAAAGCAAAGATGAATTTTCAGTTATCACCAATTTTACTTCAAGGCAGCTCTTCAAGTGACCTTCAATCTCTTAAGGTTATCCTTTCTCTAAATTTTAAATCAATTGCATTAATAAGACCTATTCAGATCCGTACAAACATCATGTAACTGACATTAATAGGTTGCATTAACCTAGGACAGAACAAGACCTCTTCTGCTTTCAGTTACTTTTGCCAAGTTTTATATGATGCCTTTGTGAAATATATATATGAAAGATTCATAATTTGCTTGCTTTTAAAGCAAATTTTCACAGGACCTATAAATTTTGAATTGTTCAAATTTGCTCCTTTAATATTTTTACGTTTGCTAGTTTTATTTCCTTGATCTGCCAAAATTCTTTATAAACTTATTTTTTCTCACTTTTTGGCAGAGAAAAATTCAATGTTTGTTGTTATCAGTTCTATCTTAAATTTTCAGCTTCTGAAATTAGGGTCCTAATTGTATCATCCCTTCTATTTATATTAGGAATGGAAAAAGTGGGATAGATTTGTATCGCCTAACTTTAGGCACCTACTTTAGATGATATGCTAAGAGGCAAGTCAAGACAACAAAAGTGGCTCCTATAAAGGATGATTGAAAGTGCTGATATCAAGTTTCACATTTGAACAGCTCTCTGGAATAGAATAATTTTCTGCACTGAATATCTAGGCAGTTTATGGAGACTAGCCTGTTTATTTAGGAAATCAAATTATGTAGGTTGTATGACTGTCCTCAATACTTAAAAATTGAGGGAGAGTATGTCTTCCTTTTTTCACCTAAACTCATTATAAGTGCCCAAACTGATAAGAAAAAACTTTTAATTGTTACTAAAGTACTTGCAGTAGACAGTTCATGCAACAAAGGATATCCAAATTAAATACCTTTTCCCCTGGCACTCATAATCACCTGTTTTTCATATCAGTCTAATTAATAATTAAAAGCCAAGGCAAAGAAAGTAATTAAATCATAAAATTATACAATAGTTAGGGTTGGAAGGGAGCTTAAATGTCATTTAGGTCAACCCCACTGCAACAACAACTAGATCAGGTTGCTCAGAGACTAACCTGACCTTGAATGTTTCCAGCCATGGGGCATCCACTGCCTCTCTGGGAAACCTGTGCCAGGGCTTTCCCACCCTCAATGTGAAAAAACTTCTTCCTTAGGGCTAATCTGAATCAATTCTCCTTCAGTTTAAAATTATTACCCCTTGTCCTATCACAACAGGTCTTGCTAAATAGTTTGTCCCAATCATTCTTATAGGCCCCCTTTTACATACTGGAAGGCTGCAATAAGGTCACCCTGGAGCCTTCTCTTCTCTGGGCTGAACAGCCCCTCCTCTTTCAATCTTTCCTATAGGAGAGGTGTTCCATCCCTCTGATCATCTTTGTGGCCCTCTTCTGGATCTGTTAGAACAGATCCATGTCCTTCTTGAATAGGATGCATCACTCTAGGTGGGGCTCTCGAGCAGAACAGAGGAGCAGAATCAACTCCCCTGACCTTCTGGCACTCTATTTTAGATGCAGCCCAGGACACGTTTGGCTTTCTGGGCTGCAGGTGCACATTGCTGGGTCATGTCCAGCCTCTCATCCACCAGCACCCCCAATTTCTTCTTGGCAGGGCTGCTCTCAATCGATTCATTCCCCAGCCTGTATTGATACTGGGGATTATCTTGACCCAGGTAAAGGACCTGGCACTTGGTTTTGCTGAACCCCCTGAAGTTCCCACGGGCCCACTTCTCAAGCTTGTCCAGGTCCCTCTGGATGGCATTCTGTCCTTCAGGTATGTCAACCACACCACACAACTTGGTGTTTTCTGCAAACTTGCTGAGGGCACACTCATCAAGTTTATGTCACTGACGAAGACATTAAACAGTACTGGTCCCAGTACAGACCTCTGGGGGATACCACTTGTCAGTGATGTCCATTGGAACACTAAGCCATTGACTACTATCCTCTGGATCCAATCATCCAACGAATTCCTTATCAGCTGGACAGTCCACCCATCAAATCCATCTCCCTCCAATTTAGACAGGAGGATGTTGTGGGGGACTGTGTCAAAGGCATTACAGAAGTCTAGATAAATGACACCTGGAGCCCTTCCTTGTTCCCTGATGTAGTCACCTCACCATAGAAGGCTATAGGGTTGGTCAGGCAGGACTTGCCCTCTGTGAAGGCATGCTGGCTGTCTCAAATCACCTCCCTGTCCTCCAAGTGTCTTATCACAGCTTCTAGGAGGATCCGTTCCATGATCTTCCCAGGAACAGAGGTGAGGCTGACATGTAGGTAGTTCCTGGGTTCCTCCTTTATATCCTGTTTAAAAATGGGTGCAGTGTTTCCCTTTTTCCAGTCATCTGGGACTTCACCCTACTGACATGAAATTTCAGATATCATGGAGAGTGGTTTGGCAACTCAATCAGCCAATTCTCTCAGGACTCTGGGATGCATCTCATCAGGTCCCATAGACTTATATGTGTTCAGGTTCCTCAAATGGTCATGAAACTGATCCTTCCTTACAGTGGGAGGGACTTTGCTCTCCCATTCCCCACCTTGCAGCCCATCCTCTTGCAAGGTGTTGGAAGAGAGATTGCCAGTGAAGACTAAATGGTAAATTCTTATATGGAATAGGTATTTATTTTGGTTTTAGGGGTAATTTTATTATCTATTATACACAGAATTGAAGTCTGTAGTGGGTTTTGAGGCATATTTTTTCAAAGGATTAACCCAAATATAAGAAAACAGTTTCCTGTGTAAGAAAATGTCAATGCTTAAATATTTTAATAATTTCTGGGAAAGCCTAAATATGTCTAAGTACATTGTAAGATGATGAAATGGTGACATGTGACAAAGTATTCAATATGTCAAACTAATAAATATTTATTTGATCCTGATATGAAGAATTTTTTGACTCAGCCTTTGACTTTTATAATAAAAATTCTGTAATTAATTTCTGCAGTAAAATGCTATAAAAGGCACCTTGTCTGTTTTTCACTTCTATAATCTACAAACCCAGCATTTTTGAAAACAGCCAGGATTAGACTCTGTGTTCTTGAGCAATAATGCCAGATTGATGCAATGAAAGCAGATGTAAGTGTAACTCATTAGTTTTGTAATACAAGCTTCAAAGTATTTTCCAGAATTAATTAATTAGCCTGGAAAATGCTACTTTTTATTTTACAAGGAACTGTTACAGGAAGTAAGAATGCTTCCCAAAGCAGTAAATTCATTGGACTTCGGGACATTTGTCTAGTTGGAGTAGAAGAAATATATCATCAGGCTTCTGAGCTCCAAAAATCACAGACAAACAAACACAGTCTGCATAGCCTGATAGATGCCAAACAGATCAGATTTGGAATTCACTCCTTGGCTATCTGTGCACATGATGTAAATCGAGAGTTAAAAGACTCACTACTGCAGTGTTGCATGCAAACATACACTACGCTTTCCAAGACCTGGCTGGGAGTTCCATTGTTCCCCTCCCATGTATTTCACGGCTCCATCTAATCCAGTTTTTAGGTTTACAGTGGAAGATTCTGCTCAATATTGTGGATTAGTAAGAATAGTAAAAATCTGTTGTATTGAGTAGGTAATTTCAGAATTTCAAACCATAGAAAACTTGGTTTTAGAATTTTAAAACTGACTAGATATGTATATGCAAGCTCTACAAATTTTCCAACAATGTAATCACAAGAATTAAAAAAAAAAAAAGCATAATGTAATAGAAGTCTTACCTGGTCTGAGGGAGAACAGCATTTATTTGCCATTTTCATCTATGACAGAGATGGAAGAATGCACAGTTATTTATATGCTGAAGAGTTTCTGTGATGCAATTAGCATTGATTGACTTAGTTATGGAATACAGTATTAATACTTCAAAATTATATTTGTAAGAAATCATTCAGTGCTTAAATACTAGATTTTTACTACTATACTGAATTTAAAAAAAAAAACAAAAAGCCAAGATTTGAAAGACAAAAGCCTTTTATCAGAGTTTTCATTACATCCTTCATAAAGATTTGCATGTATGAACTTAAATTTGCCACTCTGAGTGTCTGTACTGTAGACACCTCACTCAGTTAAACAATTGCTTAAGCAGATTTACAAATGAGGTCTGTGATTAAGTACTTGTGAAATGAAGACAATAGAGTGTAAGATGTGTTGAAGGATGAAAGGAAAATTGTATGGGCTTTCCTTTTAGTTTGCTCTTCAAGATAAAGTTACATCTCTCTCTCTTTTTCTCTTTGTTTAGGTAATGAGTTTTGTTCATTTTGGCTTTTCTCTGGCAGTCAAAGTTTGTTTACTGCTTATCTATGCAAACCCTGACATATATTCCTTTCTTTAAAGGGTAACACTTTAATGTGCAATGTTGATAAGTATAGATAAGAATCTAGAAAGAAAAAGATTAGACTGGAAAAAGACTTCCCGATACTGCAAAGAGTACGCTGAAAATTGTCCTAGAGTTTATGAGTACTTGCAAAGGATCTTGTCATCAAAAAGCCTGTTTAAGAAGACATGAAAGGCTTGTGATAAGAAAACCAAAACCTATACAAATATGCACATGGAAAACTACAAATGCCACAGGAAACAAGCAGAAGAATTCCAGGGGAGTGACAGAGGGTCTGAGGATGAGGTGGCCAAGATACTGGGAGCCTGGGGCATCTGCCAGACCTGGCTGTCACCTTGGGTTGTGTGCTGGAAGATCCTGTCAGGCCCTTGGAGTGGCCCTGCCATGGTCCCTACTACCTCCCTGCCACCCTAGAGGAGGAACAGGGACTACCACAAGAGAGGCAGGTCACAGCCTGCAGTTGCTGGCACCTGCAGCATAGCACAGGCATGGATCAAAGACAAGAATGGAACTAAAATTCAGCTGCTAAGCAGAACAAGGGGCCCTAGCAAGGTTCCTTCCAGGTCATGCACAGAGGTGTGGCTTACCACAGCCTGGCTCCAGGCTGCATGGCTGCACTAAGCCAGAGCAGGCCTGCAGCACTGAGGTGGGGGGAAGAGGTGGCAGAGATTCTTGACGCCCTATCAGTAACAAACCAGTGAGAACTCAAGAAATTCACTCTGTAACTTGGTTAAAACAAATTGGTGACATGCCCAGTGTCACAGAAGGAAGCAGATCTCACCAGTCTGATTTGTTGGTAGGCTTAATCCTGCTAGAGTAGTCGTGCAGGACATAACGAAAAGACACACTACTGACTAATGTCAGTAGAAATGCTGACACATCCTGCCCATATTCTGCCCCAACCTTTCTCTTGTGCTTCAGACAAAAATATACACACAAAGTAAATATATAGAAGCCATGTTATACACACGGAAAATATAATTTCCTTGCAAGTATCCAAAACCTTGCTGAATAATGAGATTACTATAGCACAAATCAGTGCAAGTGAACAGGCACAGATGTGCCTGGAAAAAAATGTGTGAGACTGGTCATGCAGGTTTTTCTGCACAATGAGGGTAGAGTATTGTGAAGTGCACCCTCATAAGCAGTTCAACTTCCCTTTGGGAAGAGGGCAAGAGGGAAGAATGCATTGGACTTCACAGCTATTCACTGCACAGTCTTAGCTCATCCCTGTTCAGAGCAGGGATGTCTGCAGCCCTGATGTAACTGTGGGGAAAGATCATATTATGTCCCTATGTTATGGGGCTGAGAAGTATGTACTCTCCACTTCACCTGGCAGCATGTGTTCTCTACATGCCTCCACAGCTGGTGCAGAGAGACAGGAATGGGATACACTTACCTTGTTGGCAGTGCATAGGTTCTTAGTACTGCAGTACAATAATGGGAGCTGGAGACAGCAGGGGAACTAAAACAAAAAACCTGGATCTGCAAAGACTGCAGGAAACTTTGAAAAGGAAATATTAAACAAATTATAATTTCTATACTCTGTTCTGAATGGATACATACAGGACAGGAACAGACTGGGAAGGAAATAGTTCAGAATTGTTTACCTAAATCTAAATACCTCTCGGGCTGGGATTTATCTCACATATAATAAACCTATTTTCTCTTTCCTGACAGCAGTGAGAGTGAAGAATTCTGACAGGTACCTATTTTTTTTCCTAGCTATAATAGTATTTAACTATTATTAACTCCACTGCAACACAGAGTATCACTTAGATACGTGTTTACATGAAGGAATAAAAGAAAAGGTTTGTACAGTATAACATACAATTAAAGAAGCTGTAAAAGGCATAAATATGATCTGGATTAACAAACCTACTTTGATTCCAAATTTTAAGTTTCTACCAATCTCCTATGAAACTGTGTGAATGATTTATAAAAACCATAAATAATGTTTAAAGTGGAACAAGTGCATCATAACTTGTTCTCTTATCTGCTTATGAGCTACTCATTTATTTATGAATTTTTTTTTAAGAAATAAGACCACTAGAATATAGTGGGAAAAAATACAAAACCTTGAGAAAGTTATAAATATAAAAAACAAGTCTCTGTAATGTAGATGAACTGGCAGCATTACCTTTAGATGCTTCTATCCATTATGACTACATTAATGTTTGGTGCCATATTTCAAAGAAAAAAAGCTATCTAATAGCTGGCAATTTGAATGGTGCAAAATAGGGAGAGAAATATAAATTATCCCAAAAAACTCTCTTCTAAAAAATTATTTCCATCACAAGTTGTCACTTCAGCCTACAAAGAACCCTCCAGCGAAAGAAATTAAGAACAGCAGCAGTGAGAAGCACATGCAGATTAACTTGCTTCCTGTGCTTCTTGTTACATCATGGAATATTCATGACAGTTTCTGTTACCTCTCTTCCCTCAGTTTCTTCAACTGCACCTCCTTCTGCGAGAAAAGAAGAGTATGAAGAAATAAATCTGAGGTGCTGATTCACCTCTATTTATTTCTGCCAAAGGTAAATGCGAAGAGCTTTGCAAACATTGAAATCGGGGACTGAATCACAAAGGAAGATGATAGGGTAGTTTGATTCTGGTAGAAAAGTATGTGAAAAAAACAGAATATGAACAGAATGATGAATAATTTGGAGCAAGGGTCCTCAGAAAAAAAAGTAATGCATGCTGCTTGCAAAGCCAATTGTTACTAGAAGATTTTCTGAGCTAAGCATACAAAGCATGTATCAGTAAAGAGGGCTAAAAAGATACCCTTACATTTTTCTCCATGTTGCAGTATTCCCTGTGCTCCTCTGTCATCTAAGAACTAACTTTCTCCAGTCTGGTACCAGAATCATTAGTTCTCATCTACCAAGTAGCACTTTCTAAATATGCTAACATACAGGGGCAGCAGCCTTATGCAGTGACAACTCCTCACATCTTCACTGTTGAAAGATGATTCCTCCTTTACACTTGATCCCCAGAGAGCTTGTCTTTGTATAGAAGTTAGATGTTTCAGTACTTCAAAAGAGTAGTCTGACAATAGCAGAAGTGTCACATTGTGGCAGAGCTATTTTTGTACTACCTACATTAGGACTGTCTTCTGGCATCAGCAGAAGATCTGACAAAGAGCTGCCAGTTGCTGAATGAAACTGTATTAGGGTAAAATAAAAAAAATGAAGTATATTAGGATAAAGCGATACAGGAAAGCTTGTGTGCACTGTAAGAAAACAGTCTGTATTAGAAGCTCTTTAAGAACTAAAATTCTAAAAGAAATTATTCAAAATTTTATGCAAATATGTAGGACAAAGGATGTATACAAGAGTAGCATGAATACACACGGATTAAGTAAGAAAGACTGAGGTGCAGGAAAAGTTGCTCAAGTCATGAACCAATTATCAGCAAAACAAAATCTAAAAATATGTGGAAGTAAAATGTGAAAAATGGAAAATATTGCTTAAGAACTTAGTAATATTTTAGGTCAGGTAAGAATGCTGATGCCAAATGTATCAGCAAGAAGATCCATTGTGACTATGTATCTAGTAATTAATTTCCATACAGAGATTATGGCATAGTACAGAACAGGAAATGACTAGTTTAAATATTTGGAGAAGCAATTGAACTTAGAGTCAGCATAACCCATAACTAGATAAGGAAGATTCTGGATTTCTGAATGAGTAGTGATTATCTTCAGGTACTCCTGGAGAATGGGAGAGACACTCTACAGAAGTGGAAAAGTGCAGAAACAGTAAAGAGGTCTGAAGGAATTATAGATCCATTCCCTAATGCCAATTTCTGAGGTATGACAAGAAAAGAAGGATTCTGTGAAATGATAGCACTAAGGTAAGAAAAAGCATTCAAGATGGACTTTCAAGAAGCCCAATAAAAAGGCTTTGCCCTAAGCACTGTGGACGGTGGTCTATTTGGCTGTCCAGAGGCAGCAAGTGCTCTCCAGCCTCCTTCTGCTGTAAACTTCTGCTGCACTTTAACCCCACAATCCTCATCTTAAAACTGGTTTGCCATAAAAGGGATTCTCACTATTACATTTCCTGTTCTGATGATCAGTAATCAAAATGCTCTGGCTGGACCTTTCCAGTTGTACCACAGGCTGCACACCTAATGAAGACCATTAAGTCCAAGTAAAAAGTTTATGTGCTTCTCATATGAGCTACATAGAGTTTACTCTATAACATAGAGTAACCAAACCCACAAAACATGGGAATTCATCTGTTCATGACATTCATGACTGTTATTTCTCAGACCTTTCCTGGGAACAGCCACTTATATTAACACCAGATGGACTACTTTTACAGAATTTACAGAATTCAGTGTTGTAATAGATAAGGGAGAAGACCAATGAAACTACTCAGACAGGTCCCAACACAGTGAAGATACTATGTCAGGACATGTATTACTGCACATAGTGCCTTTGAAAAAAACAGACTAGCATGCTATGATAATAAAAGTTGTTGCTTGCATTTATAGCCACTTTGTATTGTCTTATTCACTTATATCCTTGGAGTGGTTTTTATTCAGTTGATTTCATTAGAAAGAAAAACAAATTGTCTAAGTAACTATGAACTGGAATTGTTCTAAAAATATTACTATGCACTTTCTTAGAATTGTCAAATAATAACACTGTGTACATGATGTAAATCGCTAAATAGAGAATATTTATAAAGAATGCATCATAAGCAAAAATGATTTCGTCAAAGAGATTGCTTAAGCAATTGAATATTTGAAGATTTAACGGAATACATGAACTATAGTGATCAAATGGAATTCCATGTAACTTTTGATGACTAGAAAAATAAATTAAATTTTAAATCTCTTTTAACCAAAGATTTATGTTGAAATCCAATACAAATTCTATGCAATATAATCTGAAGAACTAAGCAACAGTTCATCTAGAGTACAAAGCATAAAATTAACGTCACGCTACTAAATCATAATTTATAAAAGATGTTACAGATTCAACATATTTAAGAAAAAATATTAAAAACCTGTACAGGCAATTCTTTTAGTGATAACAGTGCTTTTATATTTTCATCACTGATTTTTACCATTTTTTAAAGATAAATATATTTTCAATATTGTACATTATCCAGTTCCCTATTTAACTTTATGGTTCATTCCAAAATCTTCAATAGTTTTTAGCTGTTCTTTGTTAGAATAATGATGTGCTGTCCAAATAGCAATTTTCTGTTTCTCCAAGGATTAGATAATACTTCTGCTTGCGACAACAAATGTTACTTATTAATTTACAGGAATAACTTAAAATAGCATAAGCACCTTTATACTTCTAGAGAGAAAGGAGAAATATAGAATAATATGATCTTAAATAAATCAACTCTTAGACAACTTAGAGAGGTAAAAATAACTTCTCCCAATAAGCATCTGTAAATTGCCCTTCACTAGCTATGGAATTTTCACACATCTACTTCAAAATCAACAAATGTTAATTTCAAGTATAGTTTAATTAAAAAATGTAAAAATTATATATTTGGTCATGTCTAAAGCTCTGTGAAATTACCACTATGGATAAATATTTTGCCTTAATAAGTCTTAAAAATAATAAATGCAATGTTTTTTTATTGCTCTCTGTTCTATGATAACACTGCAAGTCCTGGAAACTTCATGATAGTTTTGATCAGACCACCTCTCCCTGCTTTTTCCTTTCTCTTTTCCTCCCCATACACAATCATTTTATATATTGTCTCTTAAATGTGAATTGTTTTCTACCCTTTGAAAACTAGAAATAATTTTACAATAGCATAGACAAGAAAATATGCAGAAAGTAACATACATTTTGAAGTGTCAAATCACTGATGTTAGTTGACATTGCTCTCAGCCAGTCAGCACTCTCCTGGGCTGTATAAAACTGAAGTATCCCAGTACCAACTCCATCGAGTGCCAGCACTTCAAATGCATTAGATCTGCAGTAAGAAGAAATATATCCATAAAGGAAGATACATCAATTTTCTGAAACTGCCCAATATTTATGAATGTTCAAGTGATTTTTATGCTTTTTGACAAGTTTTGAGTGTTTACTTTACAAATCAAAAGAAAGGCAACAAAAAGAAGGATAATAATGGGCAGTAACAGGAGCAACAGATACAATAAGTATTTCTCTGTACCAGCATACATGTGCTACTGATCATTTACTTCCCCTGAGTACACATAATATGTTCATAACTGCTGAACTTAAGGTAGTCTATTAAGGAAGTACGCATTAGATCTTTTTGAACAAACATTTTTTTTTTAAACCGAATTGTCAATTTTCTTCATTGCATTTTAGCTTCATTTACTAGGAATGTATGAAGATGCAAAGAACTGTCTTCCTAACTTTCATTTCTTGGTTTCCAATATTTTTCTACATGTCATTCAAAGTAATGTTTACTTTAAGCTCTTTTATGACATAGGAATTTGAAAAATGTACTCAGCAGTTTCTTTAAACAAATTTCTCAAAACAGCATTGACACATGGGAATGTGCAATTGCATTTTATTAACTTTTAATGCAACTTTTACATGTTTATAGCATCTTTATTCTGCAAATGCCAATGATTTCCTCACTATCTGCAGTAAGTTACTGTTATAGGTTAGAAGTCTGAGAGGGGGAATTTTTCTTCCCCCTGCCCCCCCACTGTAGGAAAGACGGAGTTTGAATGGAAAGGGGGAAGGGAGTTAATTAGCCTTACAAAAGAACTAGCTGGCCAGACCACATTCCTAATGGATGGCCCATCAGAGGTTGGGGGGAGAGGGGAGGAGTTTTGGGGGGGGTGGCGGGGCTCTTCTCAGAAGGGGAGAGGTTCAGACGGTGGAGTTCTCTCTCTCGGACAGAGACGGGGGTCTGCGTGCATGCATTTAGAGAGAAGACCTGGAGGTCTGTCTTTCTGGCTTCTTGTCCTGCTCAGCCCTGACTGCTGGCCTCAACTTGCCTGCAAGCTCTCTTTTGTCTCCAGCCCGGACCTGCTGCATTTTCATTGGAAAGTCTCTGTGCTCGCTGGGAGAAGAGGAAGAGCTTTTTGGGGCGCCATCAACTGAGAACCACAGTGAGTCCTGTGGGGGTGGACTGATTTTCCTTCTGCCATTCTTCCACTGAGGGAAGGACCCCCCGTTGTTTCTTTTCGGCTTCTCCCGCGACCCGAGACCATCCCCCAGACCCCGTGTGGTGACCGCCAGAGCCCGACAGCGCCCCCTGCAGGCCAACACAGAGAACTGCAGGCCCTGCACCCCCAGTGATCCAACAGCGCCCCCTGCCGACTGTGATTAGAACTGCGCTAAAGACAGAGAAGTATTCTGACCTTTTTTCTTTTGTTTGAAGGGGACTTTTGGGTACAGGACTACTGTCTAGTTTTTTTTGTGTTCTGTTACTGTTCTTGCCAACGTACATTTATCTTTTAATAAAGGGTTGTTATTTCTTCTGGTTTTTTTCCACACTTCCTCGATTAAAGCCCCTTAATTTTGAATTTACAATTGCTGAGAGAGAGAAGTTTGGTCTATCTCATAACTCATCCTCTTTAGCAAACATTCCAGTCTCTTTAGACTGAGACAGTTACACATTGTGTACGTATGTCTGAAAACCCCTGCCTTTGGATGATGGTGGGATATGCTTTTTTTTGCTACAAGGTTTTTCAATAGGAGCAACAAAGGCTCATTAAGTAGTTGCATGGAAGTACACTGATCTAAATGTAAAAAGAAGTGACACGCAACAGTTGCAGTAACTAAACTTCAGAAAGATTCACAGATTATTTAAATGCCTATGACTGTGAGGAGAATTACATTTCTGTCATATACTACGGTGAAAGACAATTATAATTATCTGAACGATTGTGTATATGTTTGTTGTGTATATAATATGGAGAATATCACTACTACCTTCTACATTTACAGACTATTTATTTATACCTATAGCTGTATTGCTTCATTTTTGGTACTAACTTAGAAGAAAGCCAACTACTGAATCCAAAATACTGCTCTATGAAGTTGCTGAGTTTTCCTAGGGTTCTCTGATCCAATGTGGAGTCCTCTACTGCTTAATCTATCATATATGCCAACATAAGCATTCAAAATGACACACAGAGGTTCATAAGCAGCAATTAATTCGTGACTTAGTGAAAAAGTTATTTAACTAACCTTTGTCATTTGTAGGGATTTTGATGGTGAATGGGAATACTGAATACTATTCCTTGCCGAAAAAGGTAACATCACATACAATATTAATAAGACAAAGTATCTGAATAGATATATATGACAGGCTTTACTCTTACAAGAGTTATAAAGCGTTATACTTGCTTTTTGCAAAAATTACATGCTTGGCCTGAAGACTTAAATATATATAAGCCGATTCCCTGTTTTACTTTCATGATTGAATTATCATGGTAACTACTAACACCTGGTGACAATGGCATAATTCTGTGTCACTTTCATTTGAGTAAATCTGTTTCAACTCTTTAGAAAGAAAGAAAAGGTCAAAACAAATCCTTTTATTGTCTTCAAGTAAATTGAGTCAATCACCTCTCAAGCACATTGTTCTTTTTACCTAAGGCTCTGACAAAGATCCCAACAGTGCTGTAATGAAATGACTTATGGAATGATCTTGTCAACATCCCATTGAGAGAGTGAAAATTCCCTATTCATTGATACACAGTGGAAGCTGGAAACAGACCTAATTTGGTGCTGTGAAGAGAAGCCACTCACAATACCCAGCTTAGATATCCAATTCAAATATCAAAGCTATGATGGTAGAATCCTTACCCAGTGAAAGGGCAATCCTTGTATAGGGCTTCATCACTGAAAGTGTGCTCAGCTGACTCTTGCTCAAAGGGGTGTCCACCAAGACAGCCCTTCCCGTAGACCTCTTCCCTTGCTCTATAAGACTGACACCAGGACATCCTTCCCCAGGATCTTGGTTTGGTTCAAAGCATCTGATGTGCCAATGGTGGTCACGTTGCCTGATACATGTGACTGAGACCTTTGGGGCACTGCTCTCCCCACTGTGCTGACTTGGGCAGGAAGGTAGTTTTACCTGAGAGTAGTTTAGTGCATTAAATGACACAGGAAACAAAAGAGCCAAGGTTTTTCAAAGAAGAAGATGTCAGCCATGAAGTCTGTGCTAGTAATACACTGATTTTACTCTCAACTTTAATCAACTTTACTATGATTATTTCTTGCCTTCAGTTTCGATAATTTCCCTCTGATGATACTATAATACATTGATATTGTTTCAGGTATCACACTGTGTTCTGAAAAGCATAGTGTATAGAATCCTACAAGTAAAACCAAATATTAAAAATAAAAATAAAAGTTTACCAAAATGAATGCTGAGGCTTTTGTTTTAAGTGAAACAATCAATTCAAACACTGAGACAGCACTAGAATTCAGGAGAAAATAAATCTGAGAGGCTTAAATGCCATGCCTCTCTCTCTACCATTTCCTCAAAACATAGAAAAGAAAAAAAATAGAGGCAGAGCAAAGCACCTATTCCTATTAGGTGATGAGGAGCTTTCCATTTAATACCAAATAGTAAGTTTGAGAGGTCTCAAGATGCTATAAAGTTGCTGTAGTTTTGGTTTAGGGTTTTTTGGGAGGGTTGTTTTGTTTGCTTGTTTGTTTATTTTATTTTGTTTATTTGTGTGTGTGTGTTTGGTTTTTTTTCTGAGGCTACAAGATCATTTTAAAACACAGTCAGAGGAATTTGCCATCTCTTCTATTACAGCAGTTGTGGTACTGACTATTGCAACTAGAACCAGAAATGAATATTTTCATTTCCTAAATTCTAGAAATTTGTGTCAAATTACCCTCACATTTCTTGATTTCAAATTTGTCTCCCAATCTTTAACTTTGTTTCCTTCAAGCATTTCTGCCAAGGAGCATGAGGCACTGTTTTCCATACTCAGTCTCTTTCTATCTCATTTTCATGGTGAAATGATGAATGGACCTGCATTCCTGGTCTCCTCTGGGGTTTGTTTATGGCAATAATTTCTTTTAATAAAATAAACACTCTCTTTGTGAGAATGGCAGAGAGAATAAGAGATGAGCATTGGAAGACTTCAAGTTATTTTTTTGACATTGACACTTTTAAACAAATATTGTTAATTAATATTAATAAAGCATATTTTGCCATACAGCTGAAATGAGAAAAGCTGAATTTTTACTTTACTGGAGGCTAAGAATTTCAGCAAAACATATTTTTAGATTTCTCAGTATCTGTGGCATGTGAAACCATCCCTCCATTAGACTTACATAACTATTTTATTGTGTTGCCCTTATAAAAACCTAGATGCATGTCTGACAGCAGTTGTTTTACCTGAAGTTTACTACCATGCTGATACAGACAGACAGATTTGATCTTCCCAGGTCCTAAATCAGTATTCCTTCCTGTTTGTATTTCTTTGATTTCTGAGCTGAGTTTTTATTGCTTTTGTTTCAACATTTTCTTGTGGTTTGTTTATAGAACTATATGATCCTCTTGCTGGAATTTATATTTAAACTGAAGTTTTATGGATTATGGGTGGATTTGAGTGGAAATTCCCCATAAAGAATTATCTGAATTACTTAATTTTATATTGTAAATGTCATATAGTCTTGTACCTTAAAAAATGTTCAAATGTGCTCATATATCTGGACTATTAACAGAAACTACGTAGCTAAAAAAATATCAAAGCATTAAACATAAACTTGGATTGCATTTTATGTTTGTGGTATTTTGGGGGAGCATTTTGCTTCCAGCATTGTAACTTTGGTTTATTTTTATTACACTTAGAGCAATCAAATAAGATAACTGAAGTAACATAGACATTATACTTCTAACTGATGTGTCAAAAAACAGTAAGCAAGTACTCATTAAGGTTTTGTAACTCAAACAGATTATGTTTAACTCCTAGATCTTTCTCAAAATGGTTTATTTCACTTCCTAGTTTTCAATTTATTTAA